CATACTCAACCCTTGATGGCTTCGCATACTGACCAAAGGTTGCGCGTAAGCCACCCGGAACTTTTGATGGTTTCGTACAGCTTTCCCTCGGTTTCAAATATCTTATACTGAACCCATCATAGTTTCGTACGCTGTCTAGAGGTTCGACCGATATCATACGAACCGACCCCTGGTTTCGGAAGGTTCTCCAAGGTTTAGAGTATCTTACACTGAACCCATGATAGTTTTGTGCACTGATAAAAGGTTTAGCCTAAGTGCCACGAAACGGTCAATGGTTTCGTAGCATTTCCCAAAGTTTAGGACACTCTCTACTGATCCTTTGATGGTTTCGGATACTGTGTAAAGGTTTCGCCTAAGCCTCACGAAACTACTGATGGCTTTGAAAGACTTCCCGAAGTTTAGAATATCTCATACTGAACCCTTGATGGTTTCGTATATTGACTAAAGGTTTTGCCTAAGCCACCCGAAACTATTGATGGTTTCGTAGAGGTTTCCCAAGGTTTCGAATATCTTACACTGAACCCTTGATAGTTTCGTAAGACTTCCCAAAGTTTAGGATATTTTATATCGAACTCTTGATGGTTTCGTAGGGTGTCCGAATGTTTAGAATATCTCATATTGAACCCTTAATGGTTTCGTACTGTGACTAAACGTTTGGTCTAAGTCGCTCGAAACTATTGAAGGTTTCGTAGGATTTCCCAAAGTTTAGGATAGTTTTTACTAAACGCTTGGTGGTTTCGAAGGGTGACTAAAAGTTTCTCCCAAGCCACACGAAACGATTGATGGTTTCGTATACTGACTAAAAGTTTGGCGTAAGTCGCACGAAACAATCGGTAGCTTCGTAGGTGTTCGAAAAGTTTAGTTGATTTGATGTGAAACCATCGAGAGATCCGTAGACTGGTTAGAGGTTTGGTTAACTTGGTACTGAACGACTGATAGTTTCGTCTATCATGTTTAGGTTTGGTATGTTTTACAGTAAACGAATAGTAGTCCTGATTGCTTCGTAAAAGTTTAGTATGTTTCATACAAAACTATTAATAGTTCTGTAGACTGAGCGGAAGTTTGGCGTATTTTGTACTAAACGATTCATATTATCGTATGATCTCGAAAGGTTCAGTATAGTTTGTGCCAAACGATTACTGGCTTCGTATACGCTGTAATAGATCAGCAGATTTTATACTGAACCATTAATAGTTTTACGAAATAACAAAAGGTTCAGTAAGCGGAATACAAAATGCTCGGAAGCTCCGTAGTTCTAGTAAGGGTTTGGTATACTTTATACTGAACTATTCATGGTTGCACAGCCTATGTACAGGTTTAGTGAACTTTATACGAAACGATTGATGGCTTAGTAGATTCTGTAATGGTTCAGTATAGTTTACACTAAACAATTTGTAATTCCGGAAACCCATCAAAGGTTCAGTCTGCCCTATACTGAACGGTTGATAGTTTGGGACGATCTATAAGAGTTTGTTATAACTTATACAAAACGATGTATAGTTCCGTAGTCTATTTCAGAGCTTCTCAGGATTCATGTTAAAGAACTGGTGATTTCGAAAACTGTCACGAGATTCGCAGTTTTCTGACGAAACCGTAAATGCAGTTTCTTATATTGTTGGTAAGTTTCAGATATTTCCTACGACATAGTACATGATTCTAAGTGCAATCAGAAGTTTCTTTCTTGTATTCAAGAAATCATCCATGTTAGATTCGATTTAATATTTATTTAAGAATGTTTTTTATGATAGTACTGTATTATGCTTTCACATTTTGAATTTATATTAATTTATAATAGATATATCGAAACTATTATTTTCCTTTCTGGACTATATTTCGAAACATTTCATTATTCACAAGGATGTCGGTAGTAATCAATAAAATTATATATTAGATAAATAGCCAATCGAATATAAATCCATTATTTATCATTGAACATTTATCCTTTATACTTATGAATTAAATTTTAATTTCAATTATGAAACTTTTTTCCTGATCAACGTAACTAAACTGACTATGATTATTGATTTCGTCTTTTCATGTATTCATTTTGCTCGAGCAAAGAGCTTATTAGTTCGAAACAAGAAGGAAAATACTTTTTTTGAAAAAAATTAATGAATTAGTAAAAATACCCACTTATAATATTTTTAGATCAATTGTTGAAGTTCATGCTAATTGTCGTTTTTCGTTAATTATAAACCTTCTTCTCATTTATTGCATATCGTAAGGAAACATTTTTCAGTTTAAATAATAAATGAGAGGTTTATTATTTAAAAAATAATTATTTTAATTGAAAATTTACTTGCAATTTTTGTTGTAGGTCAACTGAATACAGATTTACATTAACAAATATTCTTGGTAAATATTTGATCTGGTTACTCAACTAAAAGAACTATTTTTCTATTTTAGAAGAAGATATTGATGACGCGACATTAACTTTACTTCAACACAATGATCTTATTCAAATATTTTCTCGAGTAAAAGATCGTGTGAAATTTGTTGATCAACGTACAAAATTAATTTTACATCATAATGATCAACAAGCAAATAGAGATGCAGCTACTCTTGATGTATTTGATTCAGCATTATCATTAGTTCAAGTCTATGATGGATTAGAGAATAATGATATGCTAAATTCGGTAGATGCAAACGAAAATATAGAAATAAATAGTCGTGCTTCAGCAATAGATCCTGGTTCTTCATCAAGTTTATCTCTTAATGATGATGCAGATGTTCATACTAAACCTATGTTACCGGATGATTATGAAGGACCAAATTTGACTATTAGAATGGAAGAGTATATTGAACAAGAAAATATATCAAAATTTAATCCACACAAGAATAAGAAGTGAATTATTAACATTAATTCATGATAATGTTTCAAAGTCTCATTACCATCTAATATTTCCAATGAAGTAAGTTTTTTGATTGAGCTTGATGAAAAAAACACATTTCGCCTATATAAGTTGAAAAAATACTCTTAGTACAATGTCGTATTATATATGTGAATAAAAATCACAGTTGATATTTCTTTGTTGATAAAGAAGTATATCCCAGTATAACCTTAATTTTTGATAAATATATCTTTACTTTTGAATATTATACATACTCTTATAGATATAAACTATTGTATATATATTCTATATTACATGAATTCATATATATACAAGAAGAGATATAAGAAAATTATAAATTATCTGTACAGTATTTTTTTGTTTGGAAATTAGATGGAATATCATATTTCTTATAAAAGATCGACGAAATGATTTTCTACCACCCATAAATACAGAATATGAGAATCAAGAAATACCTAACACATTCCTTTTCAAATGAATAATTTCATTTTTTTAAGTTTTTGTTATTTTGTTATTCGGTATATAAAAAACCGTTAATTTTTTTCTACTGATTAGGTTGCACATGTATCACCTGAACAATCTGATCCTGATCGATATACCTCATCTCAGTTAAATATTACAACATCAAGAAATATTGATGATGAAAATATTAGTGAAGTTAATGAAGATGCTTTTAATCAACCATCAGCTACAGTTGAGGATCGTTTTATCAATCTTCATCTACTACTCGACGATTATTTGTTTTTCTGACAATTTCATCAATAATGATTCAGAATAAATCAGCTGAAGTATCTCATGTTCAAATTTCTTTCTCAAATTTAAACTTGAAAGAACTTCACCATATTCATACATCTCAGATATTGTCATTAACACAGCAATGCGAAAATGAATCTAATCGTACTGTAAATTCAGATGAATCTTCTTCAACTGTTACTGATAAACGTAAAAACGTGCTCGACTACACTGATCAGTTTTCATTTTTTGTTTCGCTCTTCTTCTTTTTCAATGTTTTCTGTGTGACTACTTTTTATAAGTCATTGTTTACCTATTGTTCATTAATGTAAACGTTTTCAAAAGAAGAAGAGAACTTTCTAAAATAAACAAAATATTTTCATAAATATTCTTCTCAAGACTAGAAACATACAACTACTATAGAAATTGACAACAGCTACGATAATCAATAGTCCTCAACCATTTTATTAAAAAAAATTTCAAGTACACGCTATAATTAACTGAGACTTCTAATTTTACTTTTGATCGATATCATATACTTTAGAATAAACTTTTTTTTTAAGTTATACTTCTAAACATTATTAAAAGATTAACTATTAATTTAATTATTATGATAAGGTCCCTTTTTCTATTCCTTCTACAAATTAATCCGACTTATTTAAAATTCAAATCGGCAACGTGAATTAGAATTCTGAAATTTTTTATTATATAATACATTGGCCAAATGATAAGAATTAGATTCGTTTTTCCAATCTCGATTTAGTTATTTCTACATATATTCAGATATAACTGATACATTTAATTATTGCCTAGAACTATAATATAAAAACACTAACAAATTTCTTTACCATCAATAGATCATTTTTTCAAATTTCGAATATAGTTATTTCAATAAATTTATAAATAAAATAGGTAGAACTTATTAATATCTCAAACCATCATCTCACATGATTTATAAATTTCATTATCATCATTAAGTCATGTTTCCGATTTCGACATAGTTATTTAAAAAAAAATTATAAATACAATAGATTCACTTTGTTAATAAACGGAACCACCATATCAAATGATTTATAGACTTCATCTATATCATTAAGTCATTTTTACAGATTTCAATATAGTTATTTAAATAAATTTATAAATAGAATAAACTAACTTTGTTAACATATTGAACCATTTAATCATGTAACTTATAAACTTCATATATAATATTCAGTCATTTTTTCCAATTTCGCGATCGTTATTTCTTTAACCATATAGATACAATAGCTAGACTTTACTATTATTCCAAACCATTACACGAGATAATTTCTAGACTTCATCTAGATCACCACGTCAGTTTTTAAATCTCGCAATATCTTTGTCTGTAAATTTATACATGCAATACATAGATCTTATTACTATCTCGATCCCTTCTACGAGATAATCACTAGTCTTCATCAATATCATTCAATCATTCATACAAATTTCGCAATACTAATTTCTATAAATTAATTCATAAAACCGACAGACTTAATTGTTATTCCATATCATTATAAAAGGTAATTTATACACTTCATCATTAGAAACAAAGAATAATTTTAAATTTCCATACGGCAGTTTTCATAACTTCAAATACCGGATAAATAATCTTCATTATTATTCCAACCCCTTTTATCATATAAATTATAGTACCCATTATTGAAAATAATTTATTATTTTAAATTTCCCCCTAGTATTTTTTCTCAATTTAGTTACAGAATAGATACTATTTATTATTATTTTCAACTATTTTATTATATAATTTATAGAATTGATTTTTACAAATAATTCTTTACCTTAAATATCGCTATAGAACATTTACGAACTTCAGTATAGTGTAGATAGTCTCTACTATTATTTCCCATTATTTAATCAGATAACTTAGAAACCTAATTTATTTCAACAAATCTTTAGTTTAGAATGCGCGATACTCTACTTTTTATAAATATACGAATACAATATTTTTTATGTTTTATTTTTCCGAACTATTTATTTAGTTAATTTATTGACTTTATTTTTCAATAAGTCTTTAGTTTCGGTTTTTATTTTATTAGAAAAATTTATTGGTTTGTTTTTCATTAAGTCTTTAGTTTAGTATTTTATTATATTAGACAAATTTATCGACTTGGTTCCAATAAGTCTTCAATTCAGGTTTTTATTTTCTTATAAAATTTATTGACTTTATTTTTGAATTAGTCTTTAGTTCAAGATTTTATTTTCTTACAAAATTCATTGACTTAATTCTTCAGTAAGTCTTTCGTTTAGGTTTTTATTTCTTTAAAAAATTTATTGACTTAATTCTTGAATAAGTCTTTAGGTCAGAATTTTATTATATTAGAAAATTTATTGACTTATTTTTCGAATAAGTCTTTAGTCTAGGTTTTTCTTTTCTTACAAAATTTATTTAGCTGGTTTTTGAATTAGTTATTAAATCAGGTTTTTATTTTCTTAGAAAATTTATTGGCTTAATTTTTCAATAAGTCTTTAATTTAAGAATTTATTTTATTAGAAAATTGTTGTGCTTCATTTTTCAGTTAGTGTTTACTTTCAGTTTTACATTGTATCAGGCACTTGATCGCCTTATCTTTTTAAATCAGTCTTTAGTTTTCAACGCGCGATAATTTTTTGTTTCTTACTTTTAAACATAAAATATTCGCTAAGTTTTATTTTTCTGAACCTTTGTCTTCAGTTAATATATGGGCTAACATTTTACATTTAGCCTTTAGGTCAGGCTGCGCCATAAGTTTTATTTTAATTTTTTAAATTAGAATTTTTCGTTAGGTTTTATTTTTCCGAACCTTTTCTTTTTTAATATATGGGCTAACATTTTACAATTAGCCTTTAGGTCCGGCTGCGCCAGAATTTTCCTTTTATTTTTTAAAATAGAATTTTTCTTTAAGTTTTATTTTTCCGAACCTT